TTTTTTTTGTTTTTTTTTTGTTTTTTTTTGTTTTTTGTTTAAGCTTTTATCTCGCCTGTTAATAATTCATTAGATAAAACTAGCTGATCGACAGATAAAAAATAAAGTATTATAGTAGATATATTAATACGATAACTTAAATTAATGTACAATTGATTTGTGCGCTTAAGAAAAAGTTGTTCATTATTATGAAAGTGTGATTTTGCATTTTACTACAGTAAATTATAAATTTATAGTTAAAGTACAACTTTTCCAATTATATTTAATCAAACATAAAAGCGACTGTTTTATTCCATAAATAAAATATTTAAGTATATATGGTTGATTTTATCATTTATCACCTTTTTTTTTTTTTTTTTTTTTTTAGACTATATAAATAAATCTTATTTTATGATAATCTAATGATCCATTGAGAAGACACTGAATAATTATTACAAGTTTATTATATCAAATTTATTCTAGTTAAACTATTGAAGATTAAAATTAAAGTAGTATTAAATATATATTTGGCTATTACATTTACGAATTTTTTTTATCAATTTTACTGATAATTATTAATAATATCTCTACTATTACTTAGGAAAAGCCAGAATTGCAAAAGTTATTTCATGAAATATACTGTTCATTTTAATTAAGACTTATCACTATAGTGATAGTCTTTAAAGACCTTTAACTAAAAAAAAAAAATTAAGTTTCATGCACTAAAAATAAATAATGTAAATTATATGTCGATTTTATATTTAAATGAAATATATCATTATAAAATAATAATAAGCGTCGAGTATGTAAAGATGAAATTATAAATTATATAGAAAACTCCATTCCTTATCTTTTATTATTCATTACCATCTAAATACTTCAAGCCTTTAAAACTGAATTGGTTTTTCTTTCTTTCTTGTATTTCTTGTCTTTGTTATCTATTAATATATATAAATTAATATATATGTATACAAATACACATGATACATATATACGTATATTTATTACCGTATTCCTTCTATAATTATTATTAAATATAATCATATAATCAGTAATTTGAATAAACTTATATTATTAATCATATTTAATGTTATATAAGTATTTACAACGGAGCTCTTAATCAATCTGTTATTGTTATGGGTCATTATTTCGATAGATAAAGCTGCTTTCATTCAATGATCTTCGTATACTTCCAGATAAGTGAAAACGTTTATTTATTTTAAATTTTATAAGTATTGAAATTTTTTAACGAAAGTATTTTCAAGTGGTCTTGTCACTCGAGTGTGTTATTCTTTTTAAATCTATGCTATTCTGCTCTATGCATTCAATTCTCTTAGATTTTCCATTTTATTTTATTTATTTTTGAAAATTAAAAAGGAAACAATTTATATCATATTCATATTACAATTGTTATATAATGTCACATAATCTTTATTTCGTAATCTTTTTAATAAATTCATTGGTAAATTTATCATCGATAAATGTATATTGATGGAAATTTTTTAATAATTTAATTAAGTGCATTAAATATTTGTTATAGCCGAATAACTGATGAATAATTGATAAATGAAAAATATTTGTGTTATTTTAATTAGAGTCTTTGAGAATTTCGATAATAAGAATAGCGTTATAATAAAAGGGAACGGCCGACCGTTATTGCAATGTTTAATCGAAAAAAGCGTTAAGCAGTGCAATGAATTTATGTACATTCGATGATAATATGGTTAATGTATCTTTTAATATTTCAGTTCAATACTGTAGTTTCAAAGTACTCGAGCAAAATTACTTGTATAAAATTTGTTTTATTATATATATTAATATTTCTTGTTTGCAGTCAAATTATATGTTCGAAACCTGAGGAACTTTAGGATTATCCTGAATCGTGAAAGTTCATTCATTTTAATTTGTGGTATGACAAATATATTTGTACGTTGCATTATATAAGTATATACTTTTGATACTGTTAAGCCCATTGAATGATATAATTATTTCTAATTGTAATTTTTATTTCTTTATTTTAGTAATTATGTAAATTTATCATAATTATAAATCAATTTGGATTTATTAGGTTGCTCCATTATTTGTAAAATATACAAAATATCCTTATCACTGTACTAGTTGCATTTATTAAATTTTAAAGAACTTTATCAGATTTATCAGATTCTTTTTATAATTATAATCTTCATTGGATATTATATAATTTTATTATAAAATGCTATTTTTAAATTTTATTTATATTTGCCGATAAAATGATAATTAAATTACGAAATTTGAATTCAATGAAAAAGTTTATGATTAATATTAGTTTTGAATGGCTTCGTAGATATTAATAAAAAAAAAAAAATAAAATAAAAACAAAAAAATAAAATAACTTGTTGATTATGTACATGATAAATGATAATAAATGTGTCTCTAATAGTTTCATGAATGCGAAAGTTTTGAAATACGACGAAAAATAAAATTTTAACTGTGGAGACATAATTATAGTCGCTCATAAAGTTCATATACTCTTAGACGTAATATTATAATATTAATAATATTTCAGTGGGTGAAGTATATTATATTTATTAAAGTTATAATTTTAATAAGCCGTACATCCTATTAATTTTACCTGGAAGAAATTAAGTTTTAACGATGTAAGTGTATTGCCCTTATTCTTAGAAGGTTCTAATGTCACAATTTTTTTTTTTTTTTTGTATTAAGGTCTCGAACGAAGTACATTGTTTAATTTCTTTTTATTTTAATTATTCTATCACAATGTTATGTAAACTTTTTCACGTCTATTTGCGTGTAAGCAACATAACAGAGTGAATTTATACGACACTTGTTTTCTATGCGATAGAAAAATGTTCTCAATATTTATGTAAATCTTCGAAAGCACATTAAAAAAAGTCTGTTTAATTGTATTGTAGAGATATAAACATTTATTAACAAAAAATTAAACAATATTTGTAGGTATGGCGAATAGACATTGCCATAATATTTACAGAGATTTTAAAAATTAATAATTTGTAAGGATTCATTTATACGTAATGTAAAATTTCGTTTCATTTATATGCAATATAAAATGAATTTTCTTACTATTAATTTCTATTATATTTAAAATATTAAATAAATTTTTATTTTCAAACAAGTTTCTGTCATATTAATAACTCAATAATCGTTTAAAAATAATAGTATCGGAATTAACTATCATTTCATCTCTATTAAAATAATTTTTAAAAAGTAATAAAAACTATTATATTATGATCTATTAATCTAGCAACTTTGAACTAAAATTTGACATGGGGTCATTATCAAATTGAAATTTATTAAATTTACTTTCATTTTCATTTTTCATGGAATATGCAGAATTTTTTACCATCGGTAAGTATTAATTAAGATCCTGAATTATTATCAATTTAACGCATATTTTTCGCATAATTTATACACGAAGTTATAAGATTTAATTAAGTTTGACAATTGTTATTGCAGAAAAATAAAATAAGAGGAAATATAGATATATCTAATTGTTTAAAATTCATGTTCATTCAATAATTCTTCATAAAATTCATATTCATTCATATAATGGAATTCCATATATAATGTATGGAAAGCATTAAATAATAATGCTATATATATATATATATATATATATATATATTTACACATGCAAAAATTTTCAAAAGTGACTCTTAAGTTCTATTAAAAAATTAAGATACACAACTGAAAAAAAGATATTTAAGAGAAGGAATTTACTCATATAATAAAAATTCAAGATTTTTAGGTTTTATTGTTGTTGTGAAATCATTAATTTAATATTTTTAATATAATCTTTTAACATAGTCTTTGTTAAATACAATTAAATACGTTGATTAAAAAAAGTATTCTCGCGAATAAGCATTAAATAAATTATTTGAAATCTTTACGATATTATTATTACTATTTAAATAATATGAAAGTGTTACAATCTATGATCGTTATATTTATTAAACTGATTGCAATTATATATACTTTAATAAATATTTGAAGGGTATATAATATTTAAAATTTAAACATAGGAGATTGGCATGACATGCATTTATATTATTTTGTTGCTATCACTCGATATTATTATTAGTTATCGATACCTATTGTAAAATAATTTAATGATTTTATTAAATAAGCTTTATGTATGCGGAATGGGTTTTATTCAAAATCTTTAACTTCTACGTTCGAATGAATAGATGACTAATTTGGGAATGTACAATTTCGATATTTACCACAGTTTATTAGAGTTTGCCTCTAACTTCCTAAGTTGATGGCCATGGAAGTTTGAAAACAATCAGAACTGCGTAGTTATTATCAATTAAAACGACAAGTGACATTGTTCAGTGTTGAAATAAAATGACATTATTTTACGCATTGATATTTTTCAAGCTGCAATAATATAGAAAATGTAAAGAGATATTGAGAATAGTATTTGTTTGAATTAAAAATCCTTTTATAAATGAAGTAGAACAGAGTTATTTTATTTTATTAACGAGTAGTACTTTCGTATAATTGATTATCGATGGTCGGCATACCATGTTTGTAAGTATGGTTTATTTGTTATTTAATAGATGTTTGTAATTTTAATGAATATAAAAGAAATGAAAATCATTCGGACCAATTAGGTTCCTCGTGTCTAATCCATGTTTGTTTTTTTTTCACTTTCATTTAATTATTACATAAAATCATAAAATACAATTTTTATAAATAATTTATTATGGAATAATTAGATTCGCGTTAATACACTTGATTACCTTTTAATAATAATGAACTCTCTGTATAAATACATTACTGCCACCACATCGAAAATACTTCATTTGGGTTTCACGAAAGACCTTTTCCGCGTTCTATATTAAGAATATTAAG